TGATTCTATGATTCTATGATTCTGATCTCAGAGAAATTAAAAGGGGAAAAAAATAAGGGATAAATGTAAGACTGGAGTATGGAGAGAAAAAAGGACATAAGGGGAAGAATTCCAAACTAATGGGATTTCTCTCTTCAGCATGTGAATAATCTCTTTTGTACTTCATCCTGGTTTTCAAGGAATGGCTGCTCTTACAAGAAAGCTAACTGTAGTTGGAGATGACCGTTGTGGTAAGACATGCCTCCTCTTTGCTCTGTGTCATGAACAGCTGCCCAAGTCTTGTGAGCCAACTCTGTTCAATGCTTACACCAGTGACTCAGAGGTAGAAGGCAAAGAGATGAAACTAGTTCTCTTCAACACGGCAGGGAAGAACGATGTCAGTTACCAGAACCTCCGCTCTGTGTTCTACAAGGACACTGATGTTATTTTAATGTGCTTCTCTGTGGACAGGCCTGACTCACAGCAAAACATCCTTGATTTTTGGGTTCCAGAAATCAAAATGTTCTGCCCCACAGTACCTATTATTCTGGTGGCTACCAAGATAGAGCTAAGGGTTGATGAAGGTATGAAGAAGAAACTAACTTCTCCAGGCAACGAGCCAATTACCACTACAGAAGGAAAAGCTTTAGCTGCCAGCATTGGAGCATATGCATACCTGGAGTGTTCTGCCAAGACAAAAGATGGTATGGATACAGCCCTGGAGGTTATTAGCCAATGTGCATTAGAAGAGAAAAGGACAAGAGAGAGTCACACAGCTGCTGCAGAATTTTGTAAGAGGAATGAGCATTATTTTGTTGTTGGATTTCATCATGTGAAAAGGTAAGCAGGCGTCTTTGTTGCTGTTGTATGGATGCTATAAGGGCTGCTTTTATATTATAGGAGGAAAAAAATCTCTTATATCTGCAAAGTGTCACACTTGAAAAAATGGATTTGTTTCTTTCTCCACCTCGAAAACAGGCTGAAGAGCACAATTCCAGATTTGAGCTGAGTACTGATCTTGAGAAATGGAAATGACCAAGGTGCAGTTCTCCACAGAGGTTTTTTTGGTCAAGGGAGACCCACACAGACTAGGACAGGAACTTAAACCAGCACTGCTGGGACAAGCATAAGAGCATGTTGTTCAGTGAACCTAATCCTGTCTTCCTGGTGGGAAGGTTGAGTGGCAAGCAGCTGTGCTGACAAGGTTTCCTAGTGCAAACTCCCTCCCAAAGACTTTACTGAAGCTTGTCCGTAGGGAAGGGTGTCACCACACACATTATCCAGTAGTCTGCTGTGCTATTAGCAGTGGGTTTCTGACTGCCAGAATAGGTCTGACTTTCTCCAGGATTCATTCCTAGAGCTGTCCTGGGCTTGGTTCCATCAAGGCATCAGGAGTGCATTGTGTAGCATGGGGTACAATGAGGGTAGTGCTATCTCCACCTTTTCTTCAGGCACAGGTAAATGAAGTGGGGTAAAACAGCCTGGTTATGGGGTGGGATAATCCAGTTCTTGACAGAGTTCGTACTCTGAAAGCAGAGAAGTGAAAAGACCAAACTTCAGTTTCTAAACCTCTTTGTCCATATGGCCTGAATGTATCTTAAATCTTGCTGTCTTTCCTTAGTGCTTGCAGGCAGAAGACATGAAGTAAAGGGAATGCCAGCAACCACACTTTCATCTTTGTAAGGCATTAACAGTCTGGAAAGAGACTGAGACATGCTGACAACCTAAGCAGAAAATCTCAGAGAATCACAAAGATGGACCAAAATGGAAAGACTCTGGGTGCATCTCCATACTCCCTTCTGTGAAGGACTGATTTCTGTCAGCCCAAGGAACTGAGTTATGGACTGACATTAAAGGCACAGGTCTGGAAGTGGGCAAATAACGTGACTGCAGGATTTGAGGGCACATGCTGTAACAGTAAGTGGACAGAGAAGCGTTTTAAGGTAAACCTCTTCTGATCCTGAAGTAAAGGTATTGAGCATAACTGTCATTAACTAGGAGAACATGGAAGTCTATCACTTTCTTTTGCTGACTTCCTCGATGCTGGTTTCATCACTCTGTCAGCTTGCTTACAGTTTCCCAGGGGGAAATAAAAGGAGAATAAACACAAATTTCTAAACAGATTATGCCACCCGGAGCTGCACACTTAGCAAAGTTTACATTCTGTAAAGTACTTTTCTTCCAAGAATCTCTGAGCAATTTTCAACATGAATTACCAACCCACCTCTTAGTGATAAGTAGGTGTTATTTACATTTTCAAAACTAAGAAACTTAAATGGCTGCCTAAAGTAACTGTGAACCATCTACTTCTTGGAGCTTTCTTTTTCCTGACTCATATTCCATGCCCTTTCCCTTTTGCCTCCTGGACCATTCTTAACCTCAATTCCCTCTCCTCTCTGTCTGTAATAATCCCCTTGATGGAATCTGATATTGTACTCAAACTTTAAAACTCTTTTCCCTGTGCAGCTTGGATCTGACCATGTGCTGTAAGTGCTCTCCTGATTCAGGTAGTAACGTACATTAGTGCATTTCAAAGAGCTGCATTTATGCAGGTAACTTAAAATGGTTATTTCCATTTTCTCTGTGTATGTATGGGTGGGAGGATTAGACTGCAGATAAGTTAGAGAGAGCAGGTGTCTCGGGTGCCTCTGATGTGGAGTTGGAGTGAGGCAGTTTTGCAAAGATGCTGAGCACTTACTGCTCCCACTGCTTGGGAAGTTCAGACCACTGGCAAATCCAAGCTTACACTGCCTGTTGCTGAGCAGGACACTGGTCAGCATACTGCCTGGTGTCTGTTTTTTGCCTAAATAAACAAGTATTTTCCTCCACAAGGGTGCTTTGTTCAAGATAAGGGTAACTGGTTTCACTCCTAGTATTCACTGTATGTATCTCTGAATTAAACTGTTGTTACACTGACCTTAGCTTCTATTTGTTAACGTTAACCTTTGCATTGTTTTTATGTGAAAAGAAACATTGCCAATCTGTTTCCACTCTGTACTCCTCTGCAACTGGAAAAGAAAAATCTGTGGGAGGTTTTTCACCATCCTTTTGCTAATGCTGTGTAAACTCTTTGTCACTTTTGCAAAAAAAATACCAAATCCAAGTGCTCTTCCTCTTTCTCTGTTGCAGAGCACTTTTGCAAGAGAAAGTTACTACTTAGCTGTTCAAGGAAGCCGTTGGACATTTGTCCATATTTTAGGGCACCTGGCTGCCGTGAGAAAACCACAGACAGTGGATTTCCTTTTTTTGTATTTTAGCATTGGCCTGGGATGCAGGAAGAAGGGGACATAGCCCAGCAGTCAGGTTGCTAACCTAAGCCACACGTGGCTGAGGTCACTTCTCTGTTCCACCACAAGCTGCAGCCTGTGTGAGGGTAGAGAAGAGGCTGTGCACATCTGCACTGCAGAGCAGCTGGAGGGAAGCAGTGCCCCCGTGGCAGCGTGGAGCTCCACGGGTGCCAGGTCGTCCTTCCCACTTAAGGCTGTGTCTTCAGGAGCCTCTGGAGCGTGCAGCTCACACACCCCCTTCAGCTGATGGCAGGCTTCCCACCCCCAGGCCTGCTGGGGTGGTGGCTGCACCCAGACATGGGAAGAGGTCATATGTTAGCTGTGGGAGAGCTAGAAAGTCTGCATGGGACTGCTGCTGGGAAAGTGATACGTGCCTGTCCTGGTTCCGTGTAAAAAGGGGTTCAGGGCAGGACCCACACGGAACAGAACTATGTACTCGCCTCTCCCCCCCCCTCGAGAGAGAGAGAGAGACACTTTTAAAAAAAAATGAAGTATATTGTTCAACAAGGAACAGAAAACGAAAAAGGGAAGTAAGGAAAATAATATATATAAAGATCAGGGGAATAATACAAAAGATAAAATATACAAAACCCTCAGAAATGGTGCCAGGGTCCCACGGAGTGAAAGGAGAACTTTCCTCTCCAAGCTCCAAGGCAGGAGTGAAACAAGAAACCCCTCCCTGCCTCTTATCAGAGTGTGTGTGGGAAGGGGAGGGAATACAATGGTTTCACCCCCACCCGGGGTCCTCCCAGTTGCTGGAAGGTCACGCCCCCATTCCAAGCCTCAAACCACAACAGTGCCCGTATCTGAAACCTGGACAAAAATCAGTAGCAATGAATCCACACAGAAGCAAACTGCCAGCAGACAATCCCCAGGCTAGGCTTGGGCCAGGAGTGCTGTCCTCTAATGCAAGTCTTTCTTCCAGTGTTGGAGGGGAGAAGAAGGAGAGGAGGAAGAAGAGGGTGAGGAAAAGAAAATCACAAACTGTTTTATTAACCTTTTTTTTTTTTTTTTTACTTTTGTGAATTTGAATATTAAATACGACATTCTTATTAAGGAAAATAAAAAACAAAGGCAAGAAGTACTGTGGAAGATGGAAATTAAGTGAACATTCACACTATGCAGCAGGACCATTTTTAAGATGAAATACACTGTTTACTCCCCACCACAACAGCTGAAGACAGATGCCCAATTGAAACAGCAGAGGAACTGATACTATATTAGGTGAATATGATGATATGCATTGCAATTAAATAAGAGCTTCTTCACCATTTCAGTGAAGCAAATATGCAAATAAATTATATTGATGTCTTTCAGTAGAAATAAAGAGAAAGAAATAAAGAAAGAAAATGAGTACATAATAATAAGGCAATGTGAGAGAGCAATTTTTTCCTTTTCAGTGCAAGGATAGCTTATGTATTCCATGCAATAGTGTTGTAGTAGCCTGCATGCCTGAGAATATTGTCAAGACAAGGTGTGTACACAGCTGACTTTGCTGGAAAAATAACAGACAAGCTCCTGGACACTCATGTCATCAGACACTTCTTTCTGATCTCATCTGATAAAGGACCTGACTTCTCCCTGTAAAGCTCTACATATTGTGATAAGCCACAAAAGCCATGACTAGCCAGAATGTGTTTTGTACAGAGATTTAGGCAGAAACTGTATGCTACCATAACATCTACAGAGTGACATATCAGTAGTGCTTTAGCAAAAACATACCTGCACAGCACATGGTACAGAGCTTTGGAAAGAACACAGGTCTGAAACTAAAAAACCCCACGTGTTAGTTCCTTTCATTGCCTTTTGTGTGGATGGAGTGGAGAGAGGGGGATATGTCTTGCTTAGCAAGACCATCTTCCATTTTGTATTGGTTTCCTGAGTAAATATGTGTTCCTAGTGGACAATTTATCAGTCTACCTACTAATATGTCTGTTTACTCAAAATTATTATCAGACAGGAAGCATGCAATGTTTTATGAAAATAGATTCTCTTAGGCTTTTGTCTCAGTTTTCTTCATATCTTGCCACTTAATCAAATTCATTTTCTGAAATGTACTGCATCTGTTTTAAATAATTCATCAGCTTAGAGTGTATCTCCACAATCACTCAGAGAATGACAAACTGATACAAGAGCCTGTAATTTGTTATTACGTTTTGATGGAACTATGAGGCTGGATCATTGTATTCCTCCACAGCAGCTCAGAGTAGCGTATCAAAAGGCAGAAGGGCTGCAGCTTTATTTGCCAAAACTAAATTTTAGGTGTCCCTATGGTCTTGAAAGCCTCTTTCTTCAGCTTCATCTCTGGTGGTGGACTTGTCCATCACCAAAAGTACCTCCCCACTGTTGATGTGTTCATGTTTCAATCTGCTCAGTTCCCAAACATATGCTTTATGCCAGCTACCTCCTGTGTCAGGGTGAGACCCTTTTGGACGGGACTTGCTTCAGCACAACCCTTGGGCTGTGTCTTTTGAGGAGATAGACTGGTAGATGAACATCCAGTTACTGAATCACACCAATGACTGGTTTCTGAGCAGTTTGATGCCGTTGGGA